CTATCTTCCTGTTTACAAACATGACAATAAAATGTATCACCATATAAACCAGCGCATAAGTACCATGTAAGGGCAGGTCTCTGCTGAGAGCAGCTCAAGCACTTGCCTGCAGCTCCTGATGCTACTCAAGATCTCAGGCTCTGAGTGGGATGCCTGTGGCTAATGGGTCCAGAGAGAGGGCACAGTCACCCCATCCTCTTCAAAGGTCAGCAGCAAGTACTTCTGCCTTCCTCTGCCTCTCTAGGCTGTTTTTCTTCTCCCATAGCTGAAACACTATGCAAATGTGTTCCTAGTGGATAGCCCAGCTGCACTGCCTAGCTGGGGCACTGCACAGGCACCAGCAGTAACAGATCCCTGTGCTAGATCCAGCCTGTGTCCCATCAGAGATCAGTGGCAGCTAGACAACTCTCAAACTGAAGGCTTGCATACCACCAGTTTACCAGTTACACTTGTAAAGTGTTTAGATACCCACTACTAAAAGGTTAAACCATATATGGCTATTAGGAAAACATGCTAAAGACATGTTTTGGAGGACAAAATTTTGAGTTTAATTTAAATAAGGACCTATTGACATTAGGAGTTGTTCATTATCTTTTCTGGGAATTTCATCCAGAGTTGAAATGCTAACCCTGTGTTTACACATCAGTCTAACATTAGATATTCTTTCAGCAAGTTGATGGTAGAAACAAGCCTTCCCTGCTCTGTAGCCACAGCAGTGAGACACAACAGATGGAGAATGTGTCATCTCTTGTCTGTTATGCCTCTGTTACTTCAGTGGGGACACAAGAAATGAACCAACTCCACTCTCTAATGAGGGTCTGAAATAAGATGAAAATGAAACTGTGAAAGCCTCAGTAACCTACAGGGAACTCATCTATTTAGTATTTTATGCATTCTAGATTAAAAGGCCCATTGTGATTACATAGCAACCTCACACATTTCCCAAACAGATATCTTCCTACTCTCTTCCTCATGCATCCATAATATGCCCTCAGAAATGGTGGGAGATGATCCTGAGGAAAATTTTCTACTGAAGTGCAAGATATCCAACTAAATCTCAGTTAACCTGACAGCTTCTTCCAATTAGTCTTTCTTATTTAAGCACATACCCTCTCAGCTACTGCAGACACATTCAATTAAGACAAAGAAAAAAATGCAGTAGACAAGCTTGACATTAATATAAATAAATGAGTGCCTTTTCTTCATGCACAAAGAGACCACAGTTCAGTCTTCAGTCGTGCTATCAGCTCAAGGGGATTTAAATACAGATAAACTGCATCACTAAAATCTCTGTTTGCAGTAACTAGAAGAAAGGTGACATTAACAAACAAGCCAAAATGTCTTTGAACACCGTGTACCTTTACATGGATCTCTGGAAAATAAAATTAAGAGTGATTTCAGTGTCTTCTAATGGCAATGATTTTTTTAATACTGACAACACTGTAAAAAGTGACAGGCAATTTGATAACAAGTATGGATTCCCTTCTTGTTCAGGGAAACACAAATCCATCATGAGCTTAGTCTTTTGCAAGATCAGAGAGGTGCAGTGTGTTCTCCTTCCTGCCCAGAAAGCACTGTGCACCATCAGTCAGGCTGTGTATAAAACAGTAAAACCAGTTTTATACATAAAATTCAATTAGGATACATTCTTCTCAGCCATCGCTCTTGAACACCTCTGCCATTTATTTCTCTCCATGCCAACTTCTTACTCTACTCCATAGTATCAACTAGTTTTTCTTTCAGGTGGCCAAGAGACAATGTACTCAAGCTGAACCTGTTTGTCCTCAAATAATATTTAAGAAACCACCACCTCAATTTCTCATCTGGGAAAGGACTTCTCTCACTAGCAAGCTTTCTAGCCTTTTCTTTGCTGAAATGATGGGATAAAAAAATCCAAAATTTTCTGTCACAAGCTTCAGCTATGATGTCTGAAATATGACAGGCTATTAGAGTAGAATATCTTTGCAAATATTATGATTCATCCATTGAAAAACATGGATTTCCTAATTTAAAGTAGTGCTGCCCAGTGTGAAGTATTTGCTTAATGTCAAAATCCTTGGTTGAACAGCCCAGAGTTCAGCTGAGGGGCCAAGCCCTTCAGGAACAGCAATTATAACCGTGTCCAAGAAGGCTAATTATGGTCCCTATTAATTAGGATCTAATCAGTGAGACATGTTCATAGGTGTTCCTCAAGGATGAGACACATAACATGAAACATTTTAATGGTTTCAACAGGCATCTGCTAGATTGTTAGAGGCATGGTTGTTCACACCTCATTTGAGGAAAGTATTTTTACCTGAACATTCAAAATACTAAAACCTGGCCATGTATTTCCATGCTTCACCATACCTGAACAACACAGGAAAGTATTTGCTTTACACAAGCAAGAAAAAGCCTTCAACTTTCTTTCCATCTTACAACCGAAGTCAGTTAGTTGAGAGTGTCCAAAAACGTAATTTTAATCATTTCAGAGCAAATCATGTATGTTCTGATTTAAATCATGGCCTACTTTTACAAATATTCATATCAGCTATACTTTTTGCCATATGCTTACTTAGCTAATTATATCAAAATCTATTTCTGCATGTATAAGGATATGTACTGTGGACTGTTGAGTGCCACAATAACACAGAAGGCATGTGTTAAATCCTCTTCTTGTTTGTCCACAATAATAATATAAAACATCTTGAAAATGGCAAAGCCAGAATAAAATTTATTGGAGCAAGAGAAAAAGTCCAGAAAATCAAGGACATAGAAAGCTACAAGCTTTCAAGCTTACAAGCTACTCTGACTTGAAATACACTAATTCGGGGTTTGGAAGAATTTCCACCACACTTAAAAAGAAAAAGATATGTGAGAAACAAGTGCTGGGATGTTTGAAAGAAGAGAAGGGAGAACTGCATTTATGTCTGCGAGTTATGTTTTGAGTAATTTGTCTTGATGTCAGCAAAAATGGGAATTCAGCCAAGAACCTTTGTTTGATCTCATTGCTAAGCATGCAGATAATCTGATTATCACAAGGGTTGTGTCTTAAAAGGTCACAAGCACACTTTGAGCATTAGTGGTGCCTGCAACAGCACTCCCTATATGAACAGCAGGGCTCCCTACAACAATCAGGCCAGGAGATGGATAGCTAGAGCTAAGCACACCCCCCTGCTTTATCAAACTTTCGTTATCTGGTGCTTCTCTTAACTCTGAGGTACCTTTGAATTTCAGAGATAAACCTGACCACTTTGAAAGCTTCCTGAAAAAAACCACAAACTTAAACACCACACCAACAACTACAACTACCATCTCTTGATATCTTGGTATCCAGTATTCTGGTTTTGTTCAGAAGTTTAGTACAGACCAACTATATTTGGACTTCTTAAAAGGAGAGATCATGCTAAAATCCAAACAAATTTGCTAGATTGTCATCTCAACATTTTTCTTTGCTCTCTAGGTAAACGTAGTCTGAAGTTCATCAAGGGAGGCATGGTTTAAAGATAGAATTAATACATTAACAAGGTGGATTCTTTTCTTGGGAGGAAACTGTTGCTCATCTCTGGGTTTGTGCAATGTTTGCTTTAAAACTTAAGGTTTATTCAAAACCAACACACTGTGTGTAATTCACCTCTTGACAGAAAAGCCACTGCCTTAGGTGATTTCAGCTAACTCATTTCATGGCTGAAGCATACAGAGTTTGTTATTACGGCTCAGCTGATACTGTGGAGGCAATTTTAACTCAGGTGTTAATGACTCTGATAAAGTACTTGCCTCCTGCAATGGCTCAGACGCACTGACATCGGCAAGGATGGATTGAAGCACAGTCTGAACTGCCCAGTCTGAGCTGTGCTGCAGGTCTCTGGGGGCAGAAGGCCACAAATCACTGCAGATCTAATTCAAAGCGCAATGCAAATCTCTGGAAAGGAAAATAGTCTGGTTGTCTTCTTGAGAAATGCATGATTTCTAGTTGAATTACAGCCTGGACATTTTAACTACCACAAATATCTCCTTGAAGATCTGAGCTTAGGAGGGCTTGATCTGAGCCTTTACAACCTGGAGTTGGTTTCATGTGTGGATCAGGGTGGAAACTGGGGAGACATGTCAGATTCCCCACGTGCCATGCAGGGTTTTAAGTGGGGTAATGATTGGATGAGTTAAAACTTTTGTGGGTGGCTGTGCTTGCTTAGCTGCCTTCCCACCATGGCCACAATGCTCATCAGCATATGGGCCCACAGCTTGCCCTGGGACCATTTTAGGCAGTTTTAAAAATAGCTTGGAAAATACAAATTCTCTTGTATGTCTTTTTCTCTGGCTGAGCTCCTGTCCTGACACCTGCCAGCACAGAGGTGGCTTAAATTGCATTTTTCCTCTGGTCATTTAAATAATTTAGAAATACTGAGCAGAGGGAGTGTATATTTTGTATTTTAAAGGTCTGTCAAAGGTCCCTAAGACAGAATTAAGGGATACTGCTTGCAGTCAAGTGGCAATGGCATTAGCTTTTCTCAAAACTCAGAAGAGGTAGCACTTGAGACCAAATGTTCCAGTAACAAAATATTTAAAATAACTTAACGCTTTACTGAAAATGTATTTCCCGTTTTCCACAAGCACAAAAAGAAAGTCTATGCATTCTTGATCTTGTATAACAAAATGTTTTTCTGCACTTCATCTATAACATTCACATATAAGACACTCCATGCCATAGAGGTTTCCATAGCAACGGAACAGAATCTTTAACAACAGTAGCTGTTCTTTCCCCAGGTATAATTATCAGCTGGTCATAGCTTAGCCTTTGAAATTAAGCTTCTTGTCTTTATGGAGCTGCACATCTAGAGTGAGCGCCTATTTTTCACTCAGCTTGCATGAGTGCTGCCTTAACTCCAATTAGCTCATTTAGAAATAAGTACAGGAATTTTAGCAGCAGAGAATACACTACTGAGTCTGACATCTTCAGAAGCTTTGAAGAATGTATCCAAATCTTCCTTTCCTACTCTTAGGAATTTATTATCTTTTCACAGGAAACAAGGAGAAGGCAGAAGTGTGTAGAGAATGAGAGTCCTTCCAGAATCATACAAAAGCACTGTGCGTACAAAAGCAGACACTGAGATGAAGGTTTACATTTACAGGCTTTTGTCCTGTCTGGCACACCATCTTGTGGAGCACCAGTGAGATGCAAATGATTGTTTCTGCTCAGTTTAATCTCCCATCCTAGCTATGGAAAAGTTAAAATTAATTTTGTTTCCTCCTCCTTCATTTGATGGCTACTTGGGTATTTTTTCTGAAGGTCAAACCTTTCCTTGTATCTATTGTAAAGAATCAGTGTAACTCCATCCTCACTTCTGTTAGCACCACAGCTGGTTTCTGAGTCCTTTGATTTTGTATTTTCTTGGACTCACTTCTTTGCCCAGCACTCTTCAGGAAGGACAGTGCTGACCATGCTGTGTGTGATCAATTTCCATCTTCCAAAGTCTTTTTCAAGCAGCTATTTTGGCCTAAGTTTCTACGCATCAATAAAGTATCTTTTTTATCTTTTGTCTCAACCTATTCTTTTGTCCTGATTCATGTAGCATTTATTCAGGATATAGAGCATTTCATATTGCATTTCTTAATTGAATTGTACATTTATGTTACTAAATAGTAAAAAAGGCATAAAGGATACATATTTCATTCTTGTTTTGGAAAATGAATGCAAAAAGACAGATGGATGCTGGTTTTCCAAGGCCTGGAAGGACTGGAGACAAGCTCCACAATCTGCCATGCATCAAGAAGAGATCCAAGAGAAGGGAGACCTTCCTCCCTCCAGAGAGATGTGGCACTATGGTTCTCCAGTAGACTGTCCTAAAGAAGGCACTGCTAACACCTACCCAGCCTGACCCAGATAATTTAAACCAACATTTTCTTCCACTCTTAACTGCCTTCTCTGCTTAAAAGTACCTAGTCCAAAGCTGCTGAGCTAACATTGAGAGGAGGAGGTTTCAAAGCAACCCACTCTGTGCCAGTGTCATGCAACATTTTGGATCTCTGAGCTGTCCAGGTTAGGGCTTCCCAGTCTCAGTCCAGCGGCTGAGCTGCAGCCTTTGGTTTCTGGAAAACCACAGCAAAACCAACCACAGACCCAGGAGGGACGTGATGAATCTGCAAGTGTATTGATTTTATTTTATGGGTTATCACAGCAGATGTTTTCAAGTTAACATTTTCACCACAAATATTCATTTTAATGTAACTCAGTTGCTCTTTGGTAATTCAAAAGATGATCAGTCACTTGACAGGACAAAGCACTGAAGCAGTGAGTAAATAAAGGAGACAGGTTCTGCTGCTGCCACATTACCTCTGTTTTGTCACACTGCATGTGTCACCAGGGAGCAAGGATTACTTTAATTACCAACTGCTTTAATATCAAATAGTTATTATGGAAAATAGCAGGTCATGTTCATTTATTTTTTCAGCATGACAAGGGGATGACTTTTAATACTTGGTAGTGGCTTGAGGAGACTAATGGAGAGGGAGGCAGGAGTGGAAGGAAAGCACATATCCACAAATTGCAGTTTCAGAGGGGTTGCTGTCATTCAAAAGAAAGTATGAAATGGCTTTCAAACTTCTGGGTTATCTCGCTCAGTCTATCAGAATTTCTACTCTGATAATGAGCTGCCCTGAAATGTTCACTGTCTTACATTTCAGCAGCTTATAATTGATGAAGTTGGCAGGAAAAGTTTATTCCTTTGACTTCTGCTTTTCCAAAAGCTACTGTAAACTTTCAAATGTCTCTGATAAATTAACATGGAAAGCAAATGGTCGCCTAGCTCAGTCCCTTGGAAACACCATGGAGAGGTATAACTAGACATATTTAGTTGTTTTTAACTTTAATCACATATTTGTGATTAAAGTATTTTTGAAACTTCTGAGTTTGATACCCCTTGTGGACAAGATATTGAGCTTAGATGAGTTTAAAAGGGGAGAATAAGCGCTGTGGTACTACGCTGTGTTGCATGCCTCTCTGCCCCTCCACCCCAGTGTCTGTCTTTAAGGGCCAAGGGAAGGTCTAAACTCAGGTAGTTTTTTGTACCTTTGCTTTGCCTGTGAAACTTCCTGCCAAGGACTCTCTGATCATTGCTGTCAAAGCTAAACACTATTTGTTCCATCTCCACCATACAGAAAAACAAAATAAAACTCAGTTTTGACTTAATTGTCAGTTTTCTTGTTTTGTGTTGTTTTTTTTAGATGATCTCAGCAATCCACTTTCCAGTTCATTTTCATGGAGAGCTGATTCAGTCCAAGTGAGGAAACCCTGAATAAATGTCTGAGGTCACAGATTTCTTAACTGTGCTCCTATGATATACAGAGAGCCGTACAATAGCCTATAAATTGCAAACCAATATCTCATGAGATTACAGAGAATTCAATGCCTTTCTTGATTCATACAAGAGCATTTTTCCAGGCTAAAAAAAATCTCAAACAAGAGATGTTGCTAATTAGGATTTTTCTTATCTTTGTACCTTAAAGAAATTAGGAAAGTCCAAAGTTCATCCTCTTTAACTCCTCTGAGTTAATGGGTACTTACAACTAAATCAAATATACACTGAAACTGCTGGAGAAGGAGGGGGGAAGGTCAGACACTAATACCCTCTCTATCTTTTTTATTCCCAACTGGAAATGAGAATACATGAGGGCACACGATCATAGCTGTTCCAGGACATGGTTGTCACAATCTCTTGTTAAAGCTTGAGCATTTTTCAGTCTTTTTGGAGCTTTCACAGCACCTGGAGGCCCTGGCAATCTCAATACAAAGCATTGGCCAACCTCTCCTAGGTCTCCTAAGAATCCAATGCCTTAAAGTAAATCATATCAGCAACATATATTGCTGTCTTCTTAGCACTCAGCAGGTATTTTCACTTCAGTACTTCAGCAAGGCAAAGCTCCCAGTCTCAGACTCCTCAGTCTCCTGCCTCCCTGGTTGGATTTTTCCAGGCACTTTACAGGATGGTAAAACCATGGTCGCATGGCAAAGACCAGGCAGGGGCTATTGGCTTTGGAGGTCCAGGCCCCCAGTGCTCAGTGTGCTCCTGGAAAGCGGCTGCAGTGCTCGTGTGCTTTTGCTGATCTGGCCTACACACCCAGTCCCTGTCAGCTGGCCCTGTTTCTGACGTGGTTTAACAGCATATTTCAAACCCATCCTTCTCTCTTAAAGGCCTCCAAAATTTTTCATTTCTCGAAAGCTACTACGACAACTACTTCAACTCCAAAGTCATAAAAAGGTTTCTTGATTGGCTGGTTTCTTTCTTTCTTGAACTGTCACTGTAAGGGCAATGAATGTGTTTGTTTTCTGTATATATTTTGCTTTTGCAAAGGAGAAATAAAAAAAAGAGATCAAAAGTATTTCAGAAACAATAACAAAATGCATTTCAGAAAACACATTTACATTTTGAGGCACACTTTGCAGAGTAAATGTTCCCCTGAGACTTCAAAATCAGAGGCAATGTAAGTTTGATAATCTCAAACTACAGAAGCCACAAGTATGATTAATATTTTCTGTGTCATTTCTGAGACAGCTTTGAAGGCTAGATATACTTTTATTTGGATTCCTCAAAATATCCTCATGCAGTCTTAAATGTAAATTGAACTCTGTCTTCCAAGAAGACTAGTTGGAATCAGTAACTTAAACTATTGCTCTTGCTTCAAGCAAGGGTGGATTGCAAGGAGATGTGCCACATAAATTGTCTTCGTTCTCCACACCTATTGCCTTCTGAAGATTTTTCAGGGTTATATTAACCCGAAATACATCTCTGGAAAGAATTTGTCTTTTAATAAGAACTGCAATGTCTGAGTTATGTTTGATTTCCCATTTTTTTAAGTTCCAAGTATCCAGATGCTTTTGTGTATGAGAGTCCCAGAAAAAAATTTAATTTCAAGAATGCCTTTTATGCTCTGACTGCCAGATACCACAGAGAAAACTGGACTACAAACAGCCTAAGCATCTGTGTGTATTTAATCCCAGAGCAGCTTTTTTTAGCTCTGAGATTTATGCTAATTTAATAATTTATTTTTCAAAACATGTTTAGGAGGTTGACATCTTCAGTTTGCTGAGTTGCTGTGGCTGCACTATGATATCTTGAAAAGAAGAAAAATTGTTTAAGACAGAGTTGTGCTTTGACTCTACCTGGCATTGTTCCACTTAGGAGAAATTAAGGGGGCTGGGCAGACCTCTTAGACTCTTTAGGGGCAGGAAATTCTCTGCCCCTTCATGGGACTGAGCTTTGACCCAAATTTTAAGGAACCATCATTAGGAATGTACATTCAAACACACATTTTGTCCTCCTTGTTGAACCAACATACAAGACTACAGACACATGTCTACTTCACAATAGTTTTTGTAATAAAGAATACAGCCAGAGAGGCCCTCTGTGGAAAAGCTCTCTTCCAGATATTGGCACTATTATTCCCTGGATCCAAGAACAGGTTTTGCATTACTCCAGGACTTAATTTGATTACACATCACATGGTAAATCTCCCAAATCAACTGGAAACTAAGATGACAATGTACTAATGTTGCTCTAAGAAATTATTTAATGCATAAGAGCAATTATTACAGCTTTCTAAATTTATTTAGACATCAGATATTATGGCCTGTTTGCCCAGAAGTACTAAAATAAAATTTATAATGTGATCATTGCAAGGAAATTATAACAGCATTTAATCCCCTTAGTATTTTCTATACTACTTAACGATGACAAATCACATATTCCCTTGAAGTCACCATGCCCAACAGCATGCCTGGAAGACATACCATGCACTCCTACAGAGCCCTACATTCTCTGTGGAAAAAGTTATTCTCACCAGTTTGTGCATCCATTGCAATTTTTGGCACTTAGCAGTGACAGCAGCAGAATAAATTCCCCTTCCTCAGTTCTCTGACCATAGCATGACACTCATTTCTTCACTAATCCTGATGGATTTGTGAGTTCACCTGGACTCCTCCTAGGGTCTGATCCTTCTGAGCAAGATTTTCTGAAAGAAAGCAGAATTATTGCTCCTATATAGCCCCACATACACTTTGTGCCATGCAGCATCTCTGGTTCACCAAGAGACCACAGAGACTGCACAGATGAGGCATCCCATTTTTTGGGCAGTAAGCACATCGAGATCTCCTATCCCCACACACACACCGCACAGCTGAAAGCTGCTGGGTGAGCTAAATTGAAACTAGCAGGTAAATTAAGACCAGCTTTTCCCCCAGGCAATTCAGATACCAAGAAGAAGAGAGCCAAGGAAGGGGACTCCTGGGAATTCCCAGGACTGCCGCTGCCATTGGAGTGGCAAGGATTCATTTGAACAGAGCTCTGTTGGATATGTTGACTTTTGCTTTCAGTGGTCAGCTTGAGCCTGGAAAGAGCCAAGGAAAGCATCATCTCAGGGATCTCCCTGTGAGATGAACAAGTATGAAGTTAGGGCAGTGTGAGAGTCAGGGATTAACATAAGAATCAGGGATTCAGAGCAGGGTCAAGCATGGGCAGTGGAGGACCAGAGTTCTCTTTGCATCCAGCTTCCTGGTACTTTCTTCTCAGGCTGAAAGTATTTCCTCCAGCTGATCTCAAGGGCTGATTTTCCAGACCCCGTACCACATTTTCCCTGTACACTGTTGCATTAAGATGCAGACTGGGTGGGAATGGGGACAAAGAGGGGTACACAAAGCAAGCAAGGTCTTGAGCAATAGTGAGTAAGGTGGAATTAATGGCTGGCAGTCATATTTCCTGCACAAAAAACTCCCTCCTTGCTTCAGCACTGTATTTCTCAGTACATACAGGAGGATAAGTAATAACATTCAAGACCACTTTGAGTTTTGATAGATACCTGAAACACATTCAGTGAACAACACAAACATACTTCACTACTGTGATGCAAATATAAAATTTTGTTCTGCAGTCCCAGCTTGTAACTTAAGGAAACTTGCTTCATGATAGCATTTCAATGATTTGTTAAATTGGAATTTCCTTTCACATAATTTTGCTGCCTTCTTGTTAGCCTATCTTTCTATTACTGATGCAAAAAAATAAATAGAAGCTGGGCCAACATTTAATGAGCAATTATTGCTGCTGACAGAGACATAATAAATTCCTCAACAGCAATAAAAGTAGTTTCATAGTTCATACAAGACCTGTGATTCATAGTTCGCACCAAGATGTGATTTCAAAGACCAGCTTTGTGTCATCTGACAGCTGTTAGATCAGAGGCCAGAGGAAGGAGCTTCTCCCTTGGATTAGGATAGCACATAGCTGTGGGCAGGGCTCCCCTTAGGAAACTCACACTATAGTTGCAGACTTTTTAGTAGAGCAGATCTCTGTGGGTCTACAATTTATTAAGGGATGATGAACTTCCCATTTCACTGCAGTCATGAAAAAAATCAAAGGGATTATTCACTGATCCAGGAAGCATCTGTCTAACAGCAACTTATTAAGTAAAATAAATCTCTTTTTTAAGTCAAACTCCAGTCCTTGTCTGCTTAATTGTCTGTGAATAACCTTGCTTGCTCCTTGGGAGATACATCAGAAGAATGAGATATGCTAATAGTGTAATGGCTAACACCTGTCTGAGGCAAAGGATATTTATACATGTATATTTAAACACAGAAATACTATGAATTTTTTACATGTAAAAAATGGAAAGGTGAAAGAGGGGACAGAGGTTCTGCAGCAATTACGTCATTGCCAAAGTCTTGTATTACCCTTTAAACATTCACCAGAAGGTGAGGGTAACTCAGGCTCTTTTAATAGAGCCCTTGGGGCAGATTAGAGTGAAAGGACTCTAAATGATCTGTGGGTTAAAATATATATATATATATGTAAGGCTTATTTTAGAAGAATTTGGTTGCAATAGAAAGCAAGTACGTAACCATTTTGATTATTATGATGTATAGCAATAATTCAATATGAAAGCATAAAAATATCCCTTAAGAAAATGTATAAGGGGAAAGAAAGAGAGAAGGAAGGCAGGAAAGAAGGCAGGAAGGGAGGGAGGGAGAGAAAGAGAGGAAAGAGAGAGAGAAAGATAGAAAGAGAGAAAGAGAGAAAGAGAGAAAGCAGAAAGAAGGAAAGAAAGAAGGAAGAAAGAAAGAGAAAGAGAGAGAAAGAGAGAAAGAGAGAAAGAGAGAAAGAGAGAAAGAGAGAAAAGAGAAAGAAAGAGAGAAA